TCTTTTTCTTTCTGCAGGGGGCTGTGTGAGTATTTGGGAAGGCACTGCAGAGATCAGGACCTTTTAAAAACCTTTTCCTGGGCTGGACAAGTATTTGTGTGAAATTACAGCTGCTGAGATCAGCGCCTGAAAGCCATTCTAGGGCAGAAGGAATTGGACTAGAAAGCCCAAAATTGGGGATTGGCTGAGCGCCCAGTCCCACACGGCTTTCCTGCCTCCTGCCTCCCCACGTCAGAGAGGATTCCCAAGGCTACTAGAGCTTCAGCCCCACCTGCCCCACCCTGCTGCAGGGCATGCTGGGAGCTGGGGCAGCTACTTGACTTCTTAAGGTAGCTGTTGCACCAGCTCTGGGGTGACTTAAGGTGGAGCAGATAGATGAGTAGAAAAAGGCACAAAGGAAGCAAGTGAATGACTTTGCGGGCATCTGGACAAGAGCATGGACTGACCTTTTATGTTTTCCATAAAACATATCCTGCTGCGTTTGCTTGGGTCCAAAAAAGGCCATGAGGAACGTTTTATTAAATACAAAATTCATAGATTGGACTCTGATGAACCTGATGGTGATTTCATCATCCCTGAAGACAGGAAGGAGACAGGAAGGAGACCCAGTTGTAGACAGTGGACACAGTGCTGGCTTGCCTCAAGGTAGAGAGGAAAGCAGCACCTGGACCCACCCTGTGGTAAATGAAGTAGGATGGCCAACTTCATTTCAGTCCCATCCTGTTTACCTGGGACTGAGAGGGGTTCCCAGGAGGCAGGAACTTCAGTGTTCAGGCAAACTGAGACAAGTCGGTCAGCTGAGAATGAAGCCTCAGCTGAGAGTAGCTGCCTCAACACCCCAGGCCCCTCTGTGTGTTGGTTGGCATCCAGCTATCTCCTGTGGAGATATATGTAGACTCTGATATTTAAGAGTTCAAGCAGTCAGACCCTCGCCAGGCCTTAGTTTGCTTACATGTAAAATGGGATTAATAGTAACTACCACATAGGGTTTTGTGATGTTTGAATGGGAAGGCATGAATGTGCGTGGTGAAGCATCTGGCACATAATCACATAAACGTTAGCCATCTTATTTATCACTCATTCAGTTCACTCAACGAATTTGCGTGTATATGATGTGCCAGGCCCTGCTATAGGCCCGAGGAACACAGACAAAAATACTCTGTCATTGTGAAGGGGGACAGACAAACAATAAGTGAAGACATCATATCCTTATCCTTATCTGAGAAGAGCCATCAAGGGAAATGATTGAGCATGATGAGGGGAATTGAGAGTGCCAGACAAGTACAGTGATGAGGAGAGCCCTCGCTCCAAAAAGCACGTTTGTCCAAATACCTGGAGGAGCTGTGGGAGTGAGCTCCACCCAGGGAGGAGGAATCTGGGCAGAGGGAACAGCTTGTTTAGAGGCTGTGAAGTAGAAGCAAGTCTATGCATTCAGAGAATAGCAGGAAGGCTAGCCAGGCTGGATCACAGTGAACAGGGGAAGGTAGGAGGAGATAAAGGCTGGGAGTCTAGGGGACACATGAGTGCCTTAAAGACCATTGTAAGGTCTTTGGTGCCTAATTTTATCCCAGGTAAAAGCCAGAGGGTTTTGAGCAGATGAGTGACACATATTGCCTCAGGTCTTTTAAAAAAAGGATATTTCTAACTACTGTGCTGAGAACAAACTGAGAACAGGGTGGAAGCAAGGAGATCAGAGGATGGTTGGAATAATCCAGATGAGAGTGGTGTGAATTAGACTTGGGTAACAGAGTAGAAAATGGGAAATGCTTGGACTTTGGAAATATTTTTGAAGTACAGCTGATAGGATTTAACTTACATGTGTATAGAGAAGGGAAGGGCATGATCAAAGTTGATTACAAGGTATTAATATGAGAGCAGAGAGGGACAGGCAGCTCTACACCCTCAGGTGGGTGCTCGGATAGACTCTTTTGGTGTGGGGGCTTCATCAGGCTACTGAGATGCCCCTTGTGAAGATTTAATATATGATGTCCTGGTTTTCCCTCATAATCATCTACTAAATCTTGGTAAGGGGGAAAGACATCTTTTCTCATTACATGTGAATCCTGCTTCTTTGAGAAACATCCCGGGAAGATCAACAAACTACCAGAACTCTTCTATTTCCCTTAAGCAAACCTGGCCCTTCAGCATAGTAGTTCCAAGTTGGCATAGCCCTGCCATCTCTAGTCCCTGGGGAGAAAGAACCCTGGCAACTCTGCCTCTGCCTGTCTGGGGTTAAAGATGCCCTGCCCAGAGCAGTCCTTTCCCAGGCCCTTTCCTTTCCTACTGGGAACCTGACTTCCCAGGGAGGTTGAGGCAGGGAGCACCTGAACAGCACTCCAGGTTGCTTCTAGTGCTTTGGCCTCAGCTGTGCCACTCAGCTGGAGGCCAGAGTGAGGTACTTAAGCGCCTGGGAGGCAGGAGAACCTGGGTAGGAACCTCAGCCACTGCTTTTCTAACAGCTCCCTGTGTCTGTCTCCTAAGCACCAGCAAGTGAAAGTCATCTCAAAAAAGGGCCGTCAAGTCTCCGGCTGTGTAAGGACGGATGCCCATCCATCCACTGTCCCCCACTTTACCTCCTGGTAGGATCCCACATCTCCCTTCCCAGAACCATGAGTGTCTGAGTACCTCTTGATGGTTTTTGTTTTTAGGATGAAGAAATAGAAGCCATCTCAAACCTTGCAGAAAATACTCCCTTGGATACCTGTTTTCCCATTTTCAAAATCTTTTGCTGTCCAAATGTCTTCCTTAGGTCTAACACAAATCTCCCCTCTTGCCATTTAAGGTAACACTCTTAGGTTCTATTCAGTGGAGATAGAGAGTTTGCTGCGCACCCTATGTCCACATTTCTTCCCCACCAATGGAATAGCCCTTCGTGTTGACTAAAGCGTGGAGAAAGCCCCTAGCATCACTAGCTACATTTGCCCTCCGGCTTTTCCCTACTGTCTATGTGAAGCTCAGTTGAGTATCCTCTTCCTCCAATTCTGACTTTCCTCATCTGCACAGGCTGAAAGACAAAGATCTTCAAGACAGAAGTCACCCCCTCCCTGCCTATAGGGAACCCATCAAACAGGCAGCCAACGGCTTCCAGGGCCAAAACCAAGATTAATTTGCTGCATTGTGTAATCAACTGGATAAGAGCCAACTGGTATTAATTGCCATGGTAGGATTCCCCCTCTTCACTTAAAACAGTGTTTTTCAACCTTTTTTAATCTCATGGCACACTTGAACCTACAGTTAAACTTCGAAGACACATTTAAATTACTTTGATCGAAAAGAGTAAAAAAAAAAAAACGAATATACTTACTGTGCTTTGAGCTCCTTTCAAAAATAATTTAATTACTGATCTTTAAAAGATTTGGGGCATACCTAAGATCCTCTCACAGGACACCAGTTGAAAATTGCTGCCTTACAGAGTAACCTCTTCTGGGATCCAGTAGAAGGGTCTAAGTATAAGGAAGGCCCTGAGAAGAATTCCGCCTATCTCTCACCCCTCTGGGAACATGTCTAGAAAGTGGGCTGTGTAGGGTGTGTGTGTGGTGTTGTGCGTGTGGTGACGTGTGATGTGTCTGTATGTGTGGTGTGTGTATGCGATATATAGTGTGTGGTACGTCTGCATGGTGTGTGTATAGTGTGCATGTTACATGTTGCGTGGGCACACAGCACATACATTTAAGCATGTGTATGTGTTGGTGGGGAAGATGCTGGTAATCGGGACTGTGTAGTATCTGAGAACTTTATGGCCTAGCCCTTCTTGTTCTCTTTTTATTGAACTTGAATAGTAATCCTTCTCTTAATACCTACTTAGTACCGACTTAGAATAGTAGTACCTCTTAATGGCTTGTGTCTGTGTGTATGTGACAGAAAAGGAGGGGCATGTGTTTAAAGGGGATATCTCAACCTCATAGGCTTGAAATCTCTGCTCTGATGATCTCCTAAAGCTCCTGGAACTTGGAATCAGGACATATGGCTGGGCTCTCCCAGTAGGCTCTACCTCTATATTACATGATCTTGAGCAGGTAGTTAGTTCTTTGCTGATCTCTCTCTTATTTATTTATTTATTTATTTGAGAGGGGGTCTCGCTCTGTTGCCTGGGCTAGAGGGCTAGTGTTATGACACCATCATAACTCACTACAGCCTCAAACTCCTGGGCTCCAGCAGTCTTCTGGCTTCACCTGCCTGGGTGCACATTACTATGGGTGCCCACCACTAAACCCAGCTAACGTTTTTGGTTTGTTTGGTTTTGGTTTTTTGTAGAGGTAACTCTTGCTCAGGCTGGTCTCCAACTCCTAGCCTCAAGCAGTCCTCCCACTTCAGCGTCCCTGAATGCTCGTATTACAGGCATGAGCTACCTTGGCCTCTCACTCTATATTTAAATCATTGCAGTATTTACATGTGAGAGAAAAGTTCTATGTGAATTCCAAGAGACGTTTTCGTGTTTATCTTCTTAGAGCTGGAGCCTAGCACATACTCAATGAGGAGCAGATGAAATTTTATGTCTGAGTTAGCCTCTCCTGGTTCCTGAGAGAAGAGAGTGGCCCTGTGACTAGCTAGTCCCATTTGGCTCATTTTCAGACTGAAAGTTCCATACCTCTCAGTCGTGGGCAAGTTGAGATGGGTGGCTGCCCAACCTGGAGCTCACACTTGGGCAAGATGAAGAAGCAAGAAGACTTTTTAAAAAATAGATCTTTTATGGGTGGCGGGAGGGTAATTGGTGGGACCACACCTATGGTGCATCTTACTAGGGTACATGTGAAACTTACTAAATGTAGAATACAAATGTCTTAACACAATAACAAGAAAATGCCATGAAGGCTATGTTAACCAGTTTGATAAAAATATTTCAAATTGTATATAAAACTAGCACATTGTACCCCATGACTGCATTAATGTACACAGCTATGATTTATTTTTATTTAACAAAAATAGATCTTTTAGCTGCCTTCTTTTATCATTCCCCTTTTCCCCCCCTCACTCATTATCCGCCCTTATCTCATTTTCAGGTCTATCTGGAAACCCTGTGGATCTAGAGAGGAGGAGGCAGTTGTTTGGACAGAATGTGATACCCCCGAAAAAGCCCAAGACCTTCTTAGAATTAGTGTGGGAAGCCCTTCAAGATGTTACGCTCATCATCCTGGAGATCGCAGCCATCATCTCCCTGGTCCTGTCCTTCTATCGTCCGGCTGGTGATGACAGTAAACGTGAGTGTCCTAAACAGATCAGCATGACCCTGATCTGGGTTCTTCCTACCATCACCACCACCAAAAAGCACTCAGTACTGGTGGTTGACAGGTTATAGCTTAAAACTCTTCTTCCATTATTTAGAGTGGACTCTCCACAGAAAGCCAACTAGTAGCTAGTAAGCTATTCTCCCAACTCATCCTTATTCCAGAGGTTTTTGGGGTTTTTTTTGTTTTTGTTTTTGTTTTTGTTTTTGAGACAGAGCCTCAAGCTGTTGCCCTGGGTAGAG